ATGATTTTCCTGACGAATTGCATCCATTTGGCCTTGAACCTGGTTGTTTCCTCCGGTGTTGGTCCATGTTGCAAATCTTGCATGTGCCGCTGGCTCACTTTCTGCTGCTGTGAGCAGTAGAGGATATTGCGCCGCCAAGAAGGCTCGAACCCTTCTATGCTTCTCCAACGGCAGCGTTGCCCTTGAGAAAGCCAGCAGGCTTACAGCGTCCTGGTCTGCTGTCAGGTTGTAGGTCAACTGCAGAATGTAAGGCTTGATGGGCTCGCTGGAGTTGATATCCAAAAGATGTTCCGTAACTTCCTCAAGGATGCGTACCCGAAGGTGAGTAGCAGGCAGAATGTTCGCAGCGCAGCAGGCCTAATGGCACGGAGTCTAACCAAATAAAAAGCTCACGGGCCTCGCTCGGAGCCGAGATGCTTATGACGATGATGATGATGATGATGATGGCGGCGGAGAAGCACAGCATCGGAAGTTGGCCCGGGCCTGGATGGGCCCTGGGGCCTAGGGCTACTGTTGCGTCCGCGCTCATGAGGCTTATGTAGGGGTGCTGGGCACCAAAAATTCCTTCAGAAATGCGTCCGCAGCGGGTGGAATCTTCAAAAAGCGTGTGCGAATTTGAGCTTGCTTTCGGGGTGGGGCGCGGGAGGGTTGGAGAAACGGAGGTCCAGTGATGCAGTGTCGTCAGGGGCGTCCTGGCAAGGGCTTCTTATTTTCGACCCCCCAAAGCCGCAGGGCCCCGGAGCATGCTTCCTCGGGGAGGGTAGGTCAAGGTGAGTGCAAATGTTTCAAATCTCGGTTGCATGGGTGTTGGCGGGTGTGGGCTGGTCAGGGTGCCGCGTAGACGAGGCACAGGGGGCAAGGGGTATGCGGGGGCGAGCCAGCAGGTCCAAACCAAAGCAATATATTCTCATGAACCTTGCTCAGATAATCCAGGTGGTAGTTCCCCCATGCAAGTGTACGTCACGTAACATACAGCCTGCAAAATCGTGTAGTTCACATGGTCATTTGCAGGAATGATAGGAGACTCAGAGGTGACCAAAGTTTCAGACCTGTTATTGCACTGCTACATTCAGACATTCAGTGCAGTTCTCAAACTTGTTGAGCAGGAGTCCGGAGATGGATGGGAGTATACAGTGCGCTGTCTCCTACGGCTGGGGCTGCTGCATGATGCCTGGCGCGCTGTGCAGGTGCCTTGTCGCGACGCTTCTGAGATGCTGGTTGGGTAGTTACTTGATAGGTTGGCTGGCAATTCACAGCTAAGCTTACAGAAGAGCTTGCCTGGCCTCCCATGAACCTTTGCATCGTCGGGCACTGTTGCCAGGCTGGCCCGCGAAGATCTGAAGGTGAGCGCATGGGTCCGCATGCCGGAGTTGACCTGTTGATTGCATTGACCTTTCCCGCAGGCCTCTATGCAGATGATGCGGGACAGGCGCACAAATTGCTCGGTATCTACGAATTTTGCATCTCAAGGCTTTCGACTTAACTCGCAGGATGTTGTCGAAGACGACATGGAACTGCTTAAGGAGGGGCTGTTGGAGGCAATGGCGTCCAAAGTGCTGTGAGATCCCGAACAGATGAACTGAACCGCTTTGAAGGCCGCGGAGGCTAGTAGAGAAGCTGCTCAAGATGAGGCAGAACGGTTGACAGCCTGTTAAGGACGACCAGTGACTGGGGGTTGAAAGCTCCCCAATCTCTGAGCAGGTGGAGGAGGAAGACAATGACACATCGGAGGTCCTTGGAGTGTTTTTGTTGGCTGCCTTAAGCCTGCAGAGTCAAGTCCTTCCTGTCAGGAGATCACCACGGACGTCTTTCAGATTCCTGAGGATATGGAAGCAGAGCAGATGGCTGCCATGCAGGACTTGATCACTTCGACGGCACAGCCGCATACAGCTGCATGTGTCTAACTTGGTCCACTGATGTCCACTGTCTGTTTGGGACTGCCAGGAGCGAGCTGCCTTGGCAGTCGGTGAGTTCGCATTGGCCGAGGGCACTGGGTACCTTGGAACAAAAAGCGTCTGCGACGTTCACATTTTGCTGCCAAGATTCGATTGTCTGTAGCTGCTTTGCCAAACAACATCTGGAAGGCAGGCTCCACGCGATGGCGAGCTTGCCGACGAGGTTGTACTGCTGCTGAGCAGAGAGCACCGGGGTGCAGCAGCAGAGCTGCTGAGCCTGGGACGCATGATGCCAATTGTGTGCCTTGGAGTTTGCTGAGAGGTAGAGTCGCCATAGCCAAGGATGGAACAAGTCGTTGCTACTGCACGCGGCGAGTCTGGGCAGTTCACCAAAAGCTTCGGGCAATTGGCCGCTCTCTTAAAGCGTGCCCAGGAGGAATCGCCCCAACTGTCCCCACAATCAGCAGTCTTGCGCCCTGAGTCTCATTGTACGTGTTTTGCTAGCCTCATTCTACACAATTTTGTCACTGTATGCTGAACATGTGCTGCGAATCTCTGTTGAAGCGCAGCGGGGGAGGATGGGAGTTCAATCGCAGGATGCCATCTTTACGCCATGGAGCGCTGATCGCTGGAACAGGCTGCTGCGCGTGGTTGGGAGGCAGCCGGGCTCTCAGCTCACGTTCCTGAATCTCTGGAACCATTGGTGCGTTACGGCTCCGGCACACAGACATCTGCAGAGCAAAGCCAGGCAGAATTTGCCTGCAGTCGAGCAGGTGCTGCGCTCAGTCAGGTGTAAAGTTCTGTAGTGCCGCATTTGCGATGCTGCTGCATGTCTTGCTCGGGGCGCTAGGTCTTGGACTATATGTCCCAGTTTCAGGTCACAGGTGACCAGGCAATGTGCCGAAGAGGGAAGCCCCACAGCTTACATGTGACCTGAGCAAGGAAACGGATGCAGTCATGGCTGAGCTGGTCCAGCACTCAGGTTCTGAAATGACAGCGGAACTTGGTTGCGTATTGCTGCATAGTTGGCCGAGGCTGTCGCATCTGTGGAGATGGTCCATCAGGATCCATGCCGACGAAAAGCTTTGTGAACGTGAAATTACATGTAGCTTTTGATGTATTGAGCCTACTTCCAGAGAAGCTGTCTGGCAGCCTGTGAAGGCAGCTGGCCCGTGTGAGCACGAGCCACAGCATCGTTGGCATGCCGTTGCATCCCTGAAATGATGAAGAAGTCATGGGCAACTGGGCAACTTGGAGGCTCGACCTTGGAAGGTGCCACGCTCCCCAGGCAGGGATGCCGGACGTGAGCATTTCGGACAGGAGGGGGTGCACGGGGAATCGTACAAACGTCTAGGGCCATCTATGGACTGCAAAGGCATTGCCGGGTTTACTTAAAGATTATGTAAAGGTTTCAAAAGTTGGATCCGTTTTTGGAGAAGCTCTTTGCGTGCAGCATGCAGAGGTCTTCTTCCTGGGTGGCTGCGCCCTTTCTCAAGGCGAGCCGTGTGGCTGGCAATGGCAAGATATTATAGGAGCTTTCCCAGGACCTCTCATGACACCGTTTTTTTGAGAAACCACCCATATTTGTTCTTGACTTAGTGGAACAGGGTATTCCAAGACATTCTCAGGATTTCTTTTCTTTGTTCAAGGCATGGGTATGCTAAGCCCAAGAATCAAAGCTCCCTCTGAGCTAGGTTTCTGGTTAAGTGCCTCCCATGGTATTGCTGAGTCATGCAGTACTCTGAGTGTTGTCCTCCGCATTGTTTCGCTCTTGGGCCTGAACGGTGCAGCTGCATGTGTACTGTAACGCATTTATTTGGGGAGAGTTGTCATTTTGAGCACTACAGGGCTCACGCTCGAGTCATGTTTATCGCTGCTGCACGCTGCTGTCCTTGGCTTTGTTCTAGGCGTTGGTAACAAGCCTACTTACATCATTTCTGCCTCAGCAAGCTGCACGAAAAAACTCTCAGCAGGCAGGCAAAGCTGCAAACACAACCAGGACAGATTTCTGATTTGCATCTAATGCACCTGTTTGAGTAGCCAGTTTTGCTTAGGCATTTCTAGGATTGCCATGATGATGAATGGAACCGACGGAGCAACAAAAGCTGGTGCCCCCCCCTGTGAGCCTTGGCATTTTTCCAGCATATTGTTTTTTTCCGGGTCGCTTTCACATTTGGGTTCGTGGCCGGCCCTGACCAAAAGGATCGCGTCTTTGTGAAGAACCTGCCTGCTGGCTCTACAGAAGAAAGCGTAAGGACGATCTTCGAGAAGTATGCGAACGTGGTAGGCAGATCTGTGTCTTCCTTTCCACAGTTGACTAGCCTTCAGAGGTTGAGATTGACACATGCACGAGGTGCTACTTACGCTTATGAGACAATGTTTGCACCGCACATTGGACCAGTGTTGAGCTGTCAGTGCTTGGTGTAGAAATTGTCAGGCAGGACCTTGTAATTCTGGGTATGCACAAGGGTACCATGCAACATACAACGCAAGCTTCAACACTTGGTCTGACGATTTCTTGATTCTCTCCCAATGACTGGACTGATCGAAACTGCTAGAGAAGTTGCCATCTGAGACTGATGTGTAGAGCTTCTCTTTCTCTAGCTACATAAGACTGCAAAATCCCTGCTGTGTCCATTGCAAGCACAGGGTAGAGTAGGGGCAAACCCTGGCAAAGGCGTCAAAGTTCTTGCGCCCTCCATGGGCAGAACGACACTCGCGGGCTATGTTACCTTCGCAAGCGTGGACGAGGTGTTGAGTAAAGAGACAAATTTAGCTCACCTACGGGTGGTCTAGGCTAGGGCATTCTTACAAACTCAAGGGAGAACGCAGACCAGAGAATGTGTTCCTTTGTAGGTTTGAGGGCTAACTTGCAGGGAAGAGAACAGAATTGGGTGCCATACGGTGGCGTAAAGGCTACTATGGCAAATCCATTGATACCGTGTATCAAGTCATGCATCCGCAAGCATGTAGCCAATCCTGTATGCACTCTGTTTTGAGTACTGTTACCTGCTTCGAAGTCCGGCTTTCAAATCCCAAACGGCTGGAGACAGCGAAGACATACCTGCGTACGGCATACCAGGCTAGCCTAGTGGCCTACTTTGTGATCTTTCATATGCCTCTGATCCCGACTGGGTCCTTGCATCAATCTTTGCTAGAGCAAGGCCACCTGGATTGTTGAGAACATCAGTGACCATCCACTGGAGGGACTCCAAGAGCCGCTGCCGCCCTCCTGCACAGAGATCGCAAAGCTGCTGGCATTCTGTATCCATGGAGAAGCGGGATCTCCTGGGTATGTTTCTTCTGAGGTCAATCAGTTTTGCCTATGCGGCAGACAGCGCCAAAGGTGTCGGAAAAGGGATGGGAAAAGGTGTCTTGGTTCAATGGCATCGAAGCATGTTTGTCAGAAGAGAGCAGACGTCATACTGGAGAAGGGATCCGATGCTTCAGGTTTTGCAGGAAAGGGCAGCCCGATGTCGGGAGCCTGGCCTCTCTGCATGTTGATGTTCTGGTGCTGCAAGCATGTGCAAGACCGCCGAGGATGGGTGGCAAAGGCATGATGAGCATGATGAAAGGAGGTCCTTATGATAGGCCCTATGATGCCGGCGCGTCGAAGTACAAGACAGTTCTGCAGCTCAGCTTAATGTTGGAGAAAGGCATGTCTTGGCTCGAGACCTGCTCTGACACTGAGGTGCAAGTTTTACGGAAAAGGAGGGGCATGCAAGAATGGGGACCGATGCTGTTAGTGTATTCCTGACGTCATTGTAGCATAAGTACAGCCATGTTGCTTTGCTTTCCGTTGAGGACAATTGCCAATACGCGCACGGCGAATGGGAGCTGAGCAAGGGCGGTGGATACAAGGGAAGCCCGATGGGCATGAAGGGTGGCTGCATGGGAAAGGGTGCAGGCTACGGAGGCTGCGGAGGCTATGGGGGCTACGGCAAGGGCGACTACAGCAGCTCTAAGGGCGACTACGGTGGCAAGGGTGGACCTAAAGGCTATGGAGGTGGTAGTAGTGTTTTCAGTGCAAAAGGAGCTGGCATGAATGGGATGGGAGGGATGGGCATGAAAGGCTCAATGGGCTCTGGCCCCAAGGGAGGTGGTTCGATGGGCGGACCGATGGTGCCTGGACCCGTGCAGACAAAAGGTGCGTGGAAAGGAGCCGGGCAGGCTTACTAAGTCCCCTACTCTCGTTTCCAGATCCTTGGCTACATTGCAGATGCAAAGTGTCAGCAACACCGAATTGCAAGTTCTTGCTCGGACTGCCGAGGAACACTCTGTACACTGCATTCTTCGCGGTGCTCGCTTCAACTTGCCAATGGCGCCCATAGACTCGCCAAGAACAGCGGTCGAGCTGCCTGCAGCAGCTTTGAATCAAGGTTTCTAGTGAGCTGGATTGATTTCTCATGTATATACATGCGGAGATCCGCCATTTGGCCTGCTGCTTTAGGGGTCTTGTGTTGGACTAAGCATGAAAAAACAGCTGCTCGCAAAGGCATGTGGAGAATTGGAAATCATCCGCTGTTCAAACAAAACTGGCCAAGTGTTATCAACTTTTTATGCGGCTGGACAAAACTTCCCATTCTGCGAGCGAGAAAATGGCTGTCAACGACAGAGCAGTCGCAACAATATTGGACAGCCGCCGAGTCATTGGCTATTGCAGCCTGTGAAGTGACGTGGAGGGAACCCATACCGCAATGTTGGAAATGGGTATGACTGCATGTCGAGGCAGCCTGACTGTCGTGTCCGTTCCAGCTAAGTGTTCACTGCGTGGCCGCGCATTAGTAAACAAGACTGCTGCAAGATGCTGTAAGATCGGTGTTCCAGTTCTGCAGTCTGCAGGTTGACGGATGTTACTCTTGTTGCCGTTGAAAAGATGTAAATTCTGCAGGCCCTGACCGAACTAACATCGCGGACGCCATTGTGTCCACCATTCCGAGACGCAGGCTATCGAATTTCATCATCATACGAGCTCCGCTTTATTCAAGTTCAGTACTCCTTGCTGCAGGATCCAAGATGAGATTGCCTCCGTGAACAAGGAGAACACTCGCAGGACTCGAGGCTACCTTACTGCTTCAGTTTAGCAAGCAAGAAAGCATTGGGTCTCTTCCAAGCTTTGATGCTGCCACTTTGAGTTGTTTTCTGTACTGTCAGGCAAGACCTCACGGTCACGCACTCGGCTGCTGAATTCCAGACTTCTTAGCATTCCGGGCTCTTCGTGCTTTTTGCAAAGGTTCTTGTGCAACAAGTCAAACCCACTTTGTTATCTGCATGTGAGGGAGTTGAACGATTCGTGCACGCATCTCACTTGCAGTAGATTTGCAGATGTTTGCAGGTCTCCAGCTCGGCCTCCGGCAAATGCCCCTCTCGTCCTTGGCTCGAGATGAAACCAACCCATCTGCAGAGCTTGTTCGCCTACAGAAGAGCCTTTTTTTTGCTTGTGATGGTCTTGGGATATGTTAGATCAGTCGAAGCTTCGCCTAAGGCCAGCTTGTTGAACATCAACGGAGCTACGGAAGGTCAGGAGGTCCAGGCACGTGGCTGACCCCTTGGGCCTGAATGTAGGAGTGGGCTTCTAATTGTAGCTCGAAGTTTCTTTCATGGAACCACCAGGCTCGGGCTATGGAGCCAATTTGGCAGACCCCAAGTCACACCAACACAGCAGCACAGAGATCTCCTATGCTGCCCTGCATCGAGGAGCCTCAACTCCACAGCAGAAAGAAGCTTCCGTGTGTTCACGCAAACGTCCCCACGTTTATCTGCCGTTCTATTGGCACTTCGTCAGGCTTCCATGCCAGTGACCCTGGTGTCCATACCGGCGATACAGAGGCCGTCGGTGCTGGGCTTGGAGCCATCGCGCTTTGCCCTTGTGTTGCCCGAGCCTGCTGCGTCAGAAGAGGAGCCCAAGCCAAACCAGCTGTACATAGAAAACTCCCGTCACTGTAGGTAGGCTTTACAGCTCCAGCAATCTGCATGCTAGCCAACTGCAGCCACTTTACAGGTTGCATTGCTTGTAAACAAGATATTTGTAAAATGTATGCATTTTCTGCCATTCATGGCCACAGCCAGCCTGCCGCTGCCGTCTGTGCACCCTCGGCTCGCTCCGGCTCCGTGGCACCGGCACGGCCCCAGCGTGCTTGGCGAACACAGGGGCTTCGACCCAACCGCAGCAGGCTGCGAATCGCGCAGTGTCCAAGCTGCAGCTTGTTGCAGCTTTGCTGGTGTAAGAACGTGAGCCATCTTAGCTTTAGGCCCTTTGCGCTGGGGATTGGAGCCGCTCTTGCACGGAGAGGCCAAAAGCAGAAGCAGGGCAGCGCAAGATAAGCTGGCAGCTTCTCACAGTTGAGCGGAAAGGACGGCTGGCTCGCCGCGCAAAGGATTCTGAGACGCCAAAGTGGACGTTCACGGGACGAGCTCTTTTGAAGCATTGGAGGAAAGTCTTACACTTCAGGTTTGACCTGACGCAAGCTCTTTGCTCTTTGCACCTCCGTTGCCCCATATGTGAGATGTATCGCCAGGTATGGTTCCGGCCAGCGATTGTCCAGTGTCCTTCGACGCCACCAGCTGCTGAGGCTGCCCAAAGCAATAGAAAGATGCAGGGACAGGGACATGCATGCACCATGCATGCTTCACCTTTGGCTCGATTTCAGGTGAGCTTCTTATCGCTTTTGGGCTGGACGTTGGGAGGGATTGTGTGCCTCGAGTGACACGGCTAGCATTTGGCATCTAAAAGCAGAGTTTACACCCCACATGCATCATGACCGCCGTTGGCATTCATCCCAGGTATGACACATCACCCTGTGGTTCTTACCGTGAGGCTACCGGCTACTGAAATCTAAGCATTCTATGCTCAGTGAAATAGAATCCAGGTGGTGGACATGGGATCTTTGGTGGTTGGACGCGGCGGTGCGATCGGCCAGTCCTACCCTCGGCATAGAGATATAAGATGCTGTAAGTGTAGTCTCCTCAAGATTCTCTGTTTGTGTCGTTGGTCTGCCACGTTTCTCAAGTATGCTCAAGCTAGGTGTTACGTCCAAAAAGGACGGTGTGCTAACCTGTATATAATTTCAAGGACTGGAGGCCTTCTCAAAAAGAGCGATAGCGTGAAAAAGAGGAAGTGCTGATGCGGAATTCAGAGTTAAGGCATTTGGTATTTATTGCCTCCTTTTTTCTTTTTCAACAAATACATCGGCACCGAAGCACTCGTAGATTGCCGCCGCAATGGCAGCGAAAACTGCGGCTGCATGAAGGCATGCCAGTCAGTGTTTGCAGCACCTGGCAGAGTCAAGAAAGCAAAGAAAGCAAAAGTAATGTCACACAAGCCAGCAACAAGCAAGATCTGCCCAGAGGCCGCTTCAACTCCAGAGGCAAATGCTCTCAAAGAAGATCGATTCTATACCAACGTCACGCAGAATGCAAGACGTGTGTTTGGGTCAGCGTAAGTTTTGCTTGGTGGCATGGAGTGCGATGGGGCACGCAGGATGTTGCCAAATCTACCGCACTGCACCTTTCAACTGAGGATGTCATTGCAGAGATCTCCACCTTGCCACCCTTCCTTCAGGAGCTTTGATTCCCCAAGCAGCAGAGAAAGAGGGCTGTAGAGCAAGAGCACCTCCTTGTAATTCTGTGACACGGGAGGAAAAGCCTGCTGAGCGCTGGCTCTCAGAGGTATCCTTGACAGCTGAAGTCTAAACCGGTTGGTTAGCAAATTTGGCAGGTGGTGGCGCGGCTGGCGCTTCGCGGCTGTGGCCGGGAGGCTTTTTGTGTTCACTAGGACCTGGCTTGAAGAAGTCCTCAAGTTCCGCAGGAAGTTTCCTGGTTGCTCTCGCTCCCCTTGGACACAATCAACGAGGCCCACACAGATGCCTTTGGAAATGTGGCAAGGGATTCAATTCAAGTTGCCCTCAAGCGGTGCAGGACCTGCCATCATCGGGAGCTGAAGGCATGTTGGGCTGCTGCCTGCTCGACTTGGAGTTCTTGCCTCGAGGTAGCAAGATTTCTGTTGCGTGGGGGATGTAGCCGCGAAGCCTGTCCTGTCAGGCGCAGGCTGTACCATCTTCGGCTCCAACAGCTTTCCACAGCTCAATGAAAGGCCAGTGCCCTGAGTGAAGTGATCGTGCAGACTCGCAACCTGTGCGTTTCTGCAAAGAGCTGTGAGGCGTTGCACGCTGTGTCGAGATCTCTGTGGGGCCGAAACTCACGCATTAGTCCTGGTGGAGGCATCTGATGGAAGCATTTTTTGCAGGCTCTTGCCCCTCAAGAATTGAGAACTGCTGAGAACTAGCAACCTGAACTGCCGCGTACAACTTGTCGTGTCTTGTAAGTAGCACAAGTAAAATCAAAGCAGAACCACGTCCTACACGCTTTTGGCTGTGTAAAGTCTGGTAGCAAGCAGAATGCCCACCCTCCGAGTCCGTAAACGGTGTTTCAGGTGCGAGACGGGGACCGGCCAGCTGAGTATGAAGGTGGGGAATCCTTCCAGGCAAGCAGTTGCAATGAATGCAAGTTGCTCAGATTCCATGCTCCTCGCGCGGAAGAACCTTCGTTTTGACTCCATCCCAAGCAATCAGCTGGGCTTAGAGGCCGCTTTCTGAATCCGGCAGAGATGAGCTTTCTTTTTTGCCGAGCAACAGGCGTCGCAGTGGCCCAATGTGGCTAATCGGCCGATTCCTGAAGCGGAGGCGACAGCTTTGCAGCTTTGAACTTGCTCCTTGCTTCAGGCTTTCTCTGCATGTGTCGGCGCACGGAAGGCTCTGCAAGTTCCTGCTGCGTTGCTTGGCGATGCCAAGCCTGACTGTGCGGCGCTGCACAGCACCGAGGCCTTAGGACGAGTGCTGCTCTAAAGAGAAGCTGCGGAATGTCTGTAACCGTCGAAGTTTGCCTTGGCTGCTGAGCTTGAGGCAGGTGGTAAATGCGTAGGGGATGTTGTATGGAGTGGGAAAGGGTAGATGCTGGGTCCTGCCTCAAGGAGCTAGGTGGCTTGCGTGCCCCACAAGACATGAATCGCGAGGTGCCAAGAGGATCCAAGAGGCGTTTTCTTCCAAACTATAAACAGCGACCATCATGATAGGGAAACAAGTTGCTCGGGACATCTATTTGCAGTCATGTGTTGATGCAGGCGGGGAGTGTTGCTGAATGCTTAGAGTTGGAGCCGAGAGGCTTTCCGATTGTTCAGATTGGCAAATGCATGTGTAGGGAAACTGCAGTCACCTTTTTAGGCATATTCTACTGCCCAACAATATCATCTCGATTACTACTGTAGCATCTGTGTTGGTCTAAGAATTCAAGTACGGCCATCTAGTAGGGAGACCAAGATCAGCAAGCGTCACACGCTGGCATGAAGGATAAGAAGCAGGAGACGAACGCGAAGCTGCAAAATGCAAGTGCGCCGTTTCGGACAGGCTCTGCAGTGGCTCGTGCCCTGTGTGGGAAGACTCTGCGCCAAAGGCTGCGTGCGGGAGGCACGCTTGGGCTTTCAAGAAGCGCTGTGTAAGTCAGGTGGTTTGCTTGAGCAGGAGATTGGCTTCCTTTTGTCTCTGCCAGCGCAGAAGCTGGGTTCTGCGCTGCCTGGACTGGGCGCAGAGCATTTGGGTTCCCTGCTGCAGGAGCTGCGTAACAGGGCAACTGAGAGTGTGGAGACTCACTGTGGAGACTCGTATGGGATGCGCACCTGGCAGGACGTGCCATTCGCGCCGCAGGGTGCGCGATGCCGAGTTGAAGGCTCCACGTCCAATGCCAAGTTGAATGGCTTGGAAGGCGCAGAATTGGTAAAGCCTGAAGCCTGTGTACCCAATCTGCTACACTGCTACAAGTAGTCTTCGATCCTACTCATATGTACTGTTGCAAGGACAGCTGATGGAGCACTTTCCTTCCTACTCGACGCATGCAAAGCTGCTTTTGCCAGGACCCGCAATTAATTGGTAGCCTTGCAGGTCTGAATTGCAACACGTCCAGCGACGCAGCTTCAGAGCAGAAAGGCTTGCAGATGCATTGCTGGGCATGTCCTGGCAGGAGAGGGAGAGGTGTTGATGCTTGGTTATCAAAGTCATGGAGGATGGAGGCTCACATTTTCACGCTTCAATGGACGTAGCCGACTTAGCCTGCATACCACAGTCCGACACCACCCCCCGTCAATCCCAAGAACGTTGCTTCCTTCTTTGAACTGTGGGGCAAAGGGCCAGGGTCGACATGTGCCGGAAGGAAGCACGGCCTGCTAAGGATTCATCGCAAAAACCTTCGACTCTTAGCGCTGGAGGTCAAGTCACAGATGATCGAGAAGCCAAGTGGAGGAGTCGTGACTGCACGCTGCATGTAACAATGTAGCCTTGTAACCCTGTAATGCATCTTGCACACCTACCCAGGTGGCCTGGGCCTCTGCGCTTGGCTGGGCCTACATTGCTGCGAGGTTCGGGCAGCGAAGCCGCAGCGGGTGGGGCCACCGCGAAAGGCGAGCGCAGTGACGGAAGTGATGGGACATCTCGTGCAACTAAAGTCTTGAAAGCTTTCCTTTGTGAACTGTGGGATGGGAAGCCTGCAGGATAGGTCATCGCTGGCAGAAACTCGGTATGATTAAGAAGCATGGAGATTGGTGTGAAGCGCCGCAAGCTAAGCAGTAGACATTTGCTCGTGGACAAAGGCGGAGCTGCAACGCCTCGGCGAGATGCGGACTTCAGGACTTCTGAGCGATGTCGAGTTCCATGCAGCAAAGACAAAGCTGCTCACTGCGTAGCTGTCGTAGCTAGCCCACTCGTGAAGGGCTCTGGTTGCCATTGCAACACGGCGCGAAAACGAGCTGTGCTGCACTGTGCGCAGCCATTCTGTACATACCGAAAAGCA